TTATTCACCAGTTGCAAAAATCAGAGAACTCAAGTGACTTGCTCAACAGCAACGGCTCAGAGAAAGGCAAAATATACGCTACAACCCCTCAGCGCTAATCCTGGATACATGTCCCGCTAAGAGCATATTCACTATTTCTCAGGTCATAGGAGCACGGTTGCTCTCCACTCTCTGCTTTCCCCTAAACTCTTTCCTCTCACATTACAAAGAGGCATTTCTTCCAATTCCAGGTCTTCGGCCGAGGGTGTATTTAGGAATGGCAGTGCTAATCAGCAAAGTGGGTTGGGTTTGGAGATGGCTCTTTTTCCCCTTTATCTTCCCCCATTTATATTTCTAATAGTCAGACTCTCAAATACTTAATTCTGACTTATATAAAATCACTCTGCTTTCCTTCCCTTACATCTATCCTTCACATGCAAAATAACATGCAAATTTAATATAACTTTTTTTCAAAATTTGAAAATCTTTACTACATTTCAAAATGTCAACATGCTCTCCTGCCCCAGAAATACAGATGGAGTATAAACATGGACAACTCAGCTCCTGTGCAGTAGAGCTAAGGTTTCAAACTGGTTTGAAAGCCTGAGGACCAATATATTTGAATCGCATTACATATCCTGGCAACCACATTGGACAACGAAACACAGCCTTACCTACCTATCCTCAGGGCTTATCATCACAAACCCACTATTTGGTTTGTGAGGAGAAAGCTGGAGACACTGGGTTGAAATGGAAGCAGAAGTAGAGATATTACAATAACTAGAGAGCATAAGTCAGAAAAGCCATTGGAGAAGAACATGTAATACTTTTAGGTGGGTTAAAATGATTAACTATCCCAAGATGAAGGCCATGTATCACTTGCGTTAAGATGGTTTTAGGAGTTATGGGACATGATAATAAATGACATTGAAACTCACTGTGATCAGGTTACTTTCTTTTTCTCTTTCACTCTTGATTAAACAAGAAGAAAGTTTCTGTTTGGTGCTGGTAGGTCTTTAACACCTCTCTTATACTTGTTAATCTTACCTTCCAACAGAGGAAAAGCAGGCCTCAGGACTCAGCAACTTGGCAGGCAACAGTTGCTAGAATTTATTTAATAACATTGATTTATTTTAATTTTACTAATTTTTCAGTTATTTTCTATCAATGGCAAGTGACACTGGTTTTCCACTTTCCTTAGTGATTTAGAACTTTGCCTAAGCCTCACCTAAGAGCTGGAAATGCAGATTCTTGGGCCCCGTTCATGATCTCCTGAATCGGCATCTGCATTTTAACAAGATCCCCAGATGCTAGTGATGCACACTAAAATATGAGAACTAACCTACAGTTTCCATTTTAAACACATTTACTTACATAGAAAAAGTTAACGTAATTGAAGCAACATAATATGAATTAACACTCAGATATGTGAAATACCATGTTGGTAATCCAGGATGTTTGGGAATCACTTGGGTACAGCATTTCGCTAATGAAACTAAGACCTGGGGTTTCATCCCTCCAGAGACCAGTACGTACCACTGAATATAAGCACTTACTGTCTGGGTTGAGGGGAGGGATGAATCATGTAAGGGACTGTGATTACAATTTTGACCAGTAGTTTAAATCAGACCAGTTGACCAGGGCTTTGAAAGTTGCTCTCCATGAGACTTGGCTTCCACACATCCCCTGGCTCTTACCCATCCTGTGCTGGTAAATGCTTCACAACTGGCCCTCTGGGGGGAAATATATGCACAGGTATCTATGTGCCGGTAAAATTCACAATACCACTTAAATGTAACATTAAAATTGCTATTGATGGTCTCTTTATATACTTTTAGAAATAACATTTTTAAGCGAAAACGCTGACTTTGCTTTTCCATTTACACCTAAAACTTCAGTGTGACATGCTATTTCTTGCAAAATCCACTATCAGTTTTTATAACTTGGTGGTGCAACAGTTAAACACTCGGCTTCTAACCAAAAGGTTAGAGGTTCAAACCCACCCAGTGGCTCTGCAGGAGAAAGGACCATCAGTTCTACTCTGTCACATGGAGTTGCTATGAAAATAGTTCCAATATGAATTTTGATTGATATTTTTGTTTTCCTTAATGAGTTTGTTCATCAGTGATGCGAGTGCCTTCTTTCCTGAATCAGATAATAGTTCTCAAATACTGGAAGAATATTCTCTCCATTTTTTGTGCTACTCACAATGTAACGACTACAGACATGACATACTTTCACATTTAATCTGCATGATTAACATGTTCCATCACTTTCTTAAGTCTAGACAACCAACAAAATAATAAATCAAGCTCTGATTTATGGTGTTTGCTGATTTGCATATATTTGTATAAATACTCTCACCATGCTTGATTTCAAGCTACCAACTTGACATAAACTCCCAGAGTTGGGAAGAGATAGATGTGCAGTAATATGTGATTATATCTTGTTTCCCCTACACAGATACCATAGATGTAAATAACCTCAATAGCACAGATAATGATCCTTCACCACCACCCAATGTGTATCAGAGTAGAATTGAGCTCCATAGGTTTCAATGGCTTACTTTTCAGAAGTAGACTGCCAGGCCTTTCTTCCAAGGCACCTCTGGGTGGACTTGAACTTCCAACCTTTCAGTTAGCACCTGATGATGTTAACCATTTGCATAAATAACTAGGAGTTTTGAGCATTTATTAACACTGATTTTATATATAACTTATTGAATTGTAAGTTTATATAATTTAATTTTTAATGATGACTGGGTTTAACACAGTAGATCTGCCCATGTTTCACCTGCTCACAAAACTCCCGAAAATTTAACAATCAGCTCATGTGAGCCATTAGGAGCAGGCTCCAGCTCACCACTGCTCCTAACCACTCTGTGTAACTACATTGCCTACTCTATTTGTCTTCCAGGATCCTCCTCTCTTCCCATCCACCCCCCCACCACCACCCACCCACACAGCCCATCTGGCTAGGGCCCCAGTCCCAAAGAGAAAGGAAGAAAACCTGGACTACTGATCACAAGGGAGGCTGGGAAGATAATGAGGATCTCTTAGAGTGATCCACATTAGCTTTGGGGAAAACAATTCCATTTCCAAAGGTCTGAAGTTGATGGATTGGTGGAGGTGACAACACTAAATACGACTGAGAGCACAGCTCTGGGCTCTGCTTCCTTGACTTGAATCCCACTCTGCCTCTCTATAGGCTATATGGCCTTGAGCAAACAACTCACTCTCTCTGTGCCTTAGTTTTCTCATGTAAAAGGAGGATATAATGACACTTGTCTAATCCGGTTGTGAAGATTAAACAAGATAATGAACATAAAGCTGTTAGCAAAGTCTTGGCACAGAGTAAGTGCTTAATGAAAGTAACAGCTTTTACAAACTCATCCATTGGCTCTTACTTTTTACATGTAGAGAATAATATACAGCTAGTATTTGCAGATTCTAAAGCTTTCCATGCACAGCCTAATGGGAGCCTCACAGTGACCCTGAAAGGTAGTCTGTCATCATATTATCATTCTCTGCTTGTGTTGTCTGCATTTTATGGGCATGGACTGAGGCTCTGAAAGGTGAATGGGGACACACAGCCTTTGGCCAACTAGTCAGAGCCCACAGCTTCTGTTAAGGTTATTTTGTCAAGCTCTTTACAGCCTTTGGGGTCCCTGGATGGTACAAAGAATTAACGACCTTGGTTGCTAACTGAAAGGTCAGATGTTTGAGTCCACCCAGAGGCATCTCAGAAGAAAGGCCTGGCAATCTACTTCCCAAAATCAGCCATTGAAAACCCTATGGAGCTGTTATACTCTGATACACATGGGGTCACCGTGAGTCAGAATCAACAACAGCTGTGGTGTCCCTACCCCTTTGGTTTTTTTTTTTTTTTTTTTTTTTTTCACAACCTTTAAGCAGCAAGGGTTGGAAGAACTACTACTGGATATGAGCATCTTGGGATTTCTTACCTAGTTGAATAGATTGGACTATTTTTGCATAATTCTATAAATGAGTATTCAGTATAAGATAAAAATGGTAATTCTAGAAAACCAGTGACCTAGGACAGGAAGCAGGTCTTTTTTTTTTTCACCTCTAGGCCACTGGCTAGGAGTCATCCCATCAGACTGCACTGAAGAAAATGAGCATGACCTTTCCTTTTTCCCCTTCCTCCACAAGGAGAGGAGACAAGACCTCTCCTTCCATGTTATGTGGAGGAATCAGAATCTGCCCCTCTTGCTCTGGGGAAAAAGCTCAAACCACAGACTTTCTCCTCATATTGGCAATTGTGGCCAGACTGGTTTTTACAAGGAAATGAGAGATGATCAGATTGACAGAGATGAACAAGTTAGATAAGTCCTTGTTTGAGGTCAATTTGGCCGCTGTTCATCAAAATTACAATGCATACACTATGACTCAGCAGTTCCACTCCAGGAATTTACCCTACAGAAACACTCCCTTGTATGGAAAATGAGGGATGCATAAGGTTATTCTTTGCATTATTATTGTAAGATAGGGAAAGATGGGAAACAATCAAAGTGTCCATCAGCAGGGGACTTCCAAATAAATTCCAACACAGAGGAGGCAATACTATACAACTTTTAAAAAGAATGCAATAGATCTTTATATACTGATATAGAATAATTTCTAAGATAGATTAAGTGACCAAAGCAAGAGGGAATGATTAAATTTATTTTTATATGCATTAAATACTTCTGGAAGGAGGCATGAGACACTGGAGATAGAAGTGGGTAATTAGGGCACAGGGAGGAAAGGAAACTTTCTACTACATATCCTTTAGGAAATCTTTTGAATATTATTCCATTTGCATGCATTATATGCTTGAAATAAATAAATGTTGTATACAAGTTGGTGAGGGGGCCTGTAGAAAAAGAGGGATTTAAAATCTGACAGATACTTTTCCCCTGAGCTAAAGGCAATGGAATGGTGGTTAGAAAGGGTGGGAGGGAAGGTTGGCTTTAAGCTCTCGACTCATACCTGCTTATACTGAGACCTGACTCTTCGCAGCAACAGGCAGGAGCAGCCCGCATGGCCCAGACCCGTGAAGAGAAGCTGGCCACTGCCCTCAGGGTGGAGTTACACAACACTTCGTGCCAAGTCCAGAGCCTCCAGGCCGAGATGGAATCCTTACAGGCCCTGGTGAGTGGGCCAGGAAGAGTCCTGGCATTTCTGGTGTCAATTTTAACCCTCACCTGTTGGATTCTAGTCACATGGGTCATTGTTTGTGAGGTAACTCGGTTTCCTCATGAGTTTTGCGGCCTAAAATGTCCTTGGACTCCCAAGGATCATCTGATACTGACACACAGCAAGTGTAGTAGACACTTTATCAGGCTGCTGTGAATGTTGGCTGCTAAAGGCCCACAGCTGCCCCTTTCAGCTGCCCTACTTCTCCAGAGAATTGCCCCTGCCAAACAAAAGGCACCTGGCCCAGGAAGTTAGGCCCTGCCTCCAGCCCTCAGACAATGACTGACTGACCCAAAACCAAAACCAAAACCAAACCCATTGCCATGGAGTGGATTTTGACTCACAGTGACCCTATAGGACAGAGTAGAACTGCCCATAGGATTTCCAAGACTGTAATCTTTACGGAAGCAGACTGCCACATCTGTCTCCCACAGAGCAGCTGTTGGGTTAGAACCGCTGACCTTCCGGTCAACAGCTGAGGCATAACCATTGTACCATCAGGGCTCCTTTGACTGACAGAGGTGTTTAAAAGCCCAGCCCACTTGCCTCAAAGTGGAACCAATTCTATGGTATAATTCACACTAGCTCTCCATGGGATCAGGCTGATGCCATACTCCAGCTGAGACACTCAGCCCCTTCCCCTGCCCTACCCTGCTTTCCTCACTTCACCTTTTCCTGAGAGCACTTTCTTTATTAATTACGTGCACCAGAATCCCTGTGTCAGGCTGTGCTTCAGGGAATTCAACCTAAGACACCTAGTAAGCTAAGCTCCTCAGACTCAGTGTGGTTTGCAGGCAGGTGTCTTGCACTATTTACAATAATAATACAGCAATCCACCCTCTGATCTCTGAAATGGACTGAAGTTCTATTAGGGTGTCAGACACAGCTCCTTCTAGATGCCCCTCCTGGGGACCATTTTTACTGACTTTAACCACAAGCTTTGTTAGTGCAAGCAGGAAGGCATGAAGGAGTTGGTCCATGTAACCCTTTGGACCTGAGACTGTCTGGAGTCCAGTGAGGCCAAGTAGCCCCTATTTTGGGACCACACTAGCCTCTTTCATCAGCTTCAAGTCTTAGGGTTTTCAAATACCATAGGTGTTACTCCCTCTCTTCCACCACTCCCCATACACCCTGGTCTCAATTCTGCCACCTAAATAGGCTCCATCACCAAACCGCCAGTCCCATCTCCCACTAAAACCATGGCCTGCATGATGTTAGCTCAAGTATTCATTCTAGATGGTTCCCCTCAGAAACAGCCTTTTCACCCTCTGTTGGCAAAATCATCTTATCATCCCCCAGCTCCCTTCCTTCGCTCATTCTGCAATTTGGTCAGAGTTCTGCGGGGACAGCTCTGCTTGGGCTGGAACATGCAAGGATGGCTTCTTCAATTCACAGGCCTGGTGCCTCAGCTATGCATCTCTCTCTCCCTGCCTGTCTCCCTCTCTCTCCATGTGTCCTCTCCATGTAGCTAGGTTGGACTCCCTCAGAGCATAGTGGTCTTACAGTCACTGGGCTTCTTACGTGGCATCTGGCTTCCCTCAAAGCATGAGCACAGAAAGCTACCAGGCGTCTTAACACCTGGCCTTGAAAGTTTCTGAGCATTACTTACACCACATTCTATCGGTCAAAGCAGTCATAGCACAAGCTCCACTTCAATAGAAGAGAAATAAACTCTACCTTTTGATGGGGCAGGGGCAAGATCACACTGAGGAAGAGGATGTGGGATGGAGGTAATTGTTGTAGCTGCCTATGGAAATGTGATCTGCCACAAGATCATAATAGAATTTACCTTATAAAGTCATTGGAGTGCCTAATTAGATTATGCATGTCAAGCCCTTAGCACAGAGCCTGGCACAGAGTGAGCATTCTGTAAATGGTATCTATGATTATCTGTAATTATCTATGTATCTATGTAAATAGATAATATACAAATCATATCTATAATTATCTCTATATACATATTATATTTATATATAATAACTATAATTGTCATTATAAAATTATTATTATGGCCAATAGTATAGTAACCCCAAGTTGGCCTCATCAGCCACCTGGTCACCTCACTTAAAATCCAGGAAACCTGGTCCTGTTGGAACAAAAACAACAAAAATTCACACCACACTTCAAAGAGATGGAAAAACTTTATATGGAAAGGGAAGAAGCCCCTAATAAGTAAAGCACTACTGAAGAAGAAGAATAAAGTTGGAGGACCCACACTACCTGACTTCAGAACCTACTATACAGCTACAGTAGTCAAAACAGCCTGGTACTGGTACAAC